TTCTGCAAGTATCAGCACACTTTTAAAAATATACTTCATACAGGTGTTGTATTTTTGGGTGTTGGGCTGTAAATTTATTACCTCAGGTGAATGTGATTATGTTAATACTTGTAAATCAAAAAATAAGTGCTCATTTGCATTAAAAAGAACTGAATTTGTAACATCGATGAAACTGTTTTTTTTTTGCTTTTTTGACTGCTTGATAAATAGGTTAAACACAGGTCTATGGCTTTTCTGTCCTGTATATGATTTTGAGGTGCATGTTTGCTGCAGTCATTCATTAACTGCAATTATGACACTTTGAATCATGGTCATCAGAAGCAGAATCACAACTTTTCTTCAAGTAGAGGTTTTCTGTCTATAGCAGCCATTTATTTTCCTTTACAATAAATATTTGCTTTTTTACTTTGAAAGCTTCATTTTAATTATTTAGCCCCAGATCTGTGAGTAATGGTCCTGTGTTGCCAACCTTTACCATTTTACATCTTTTGAGTGAACCTAGTTTGATAATAAGTTTTTGGTACCACTTATTTTGGTTAATTACGTTATTTAGTTCAAACAATTGAAAGATGCACTAAATAAAATGCAGGTCAGAAAATGTACATACTCATCACCAGCATGGATTTTTAATTTTGGGCTTTTAATTATTTATTTTCTTCTTGTTTGTGGGGAATAATTTCAATTAATTTTAAAAACAAGGATTGGGCCCACATGCTTAAATTTATTGTGAAATTTCTCTAGTCCACACAGGGTCAAAATTATACATACAGGCTCAAATATATTCAGAGATCTAAACCAATATTTAGTTTAATGTCCCTTGGTGCCTTGCAGAGAAATTGCATATTTTTTGTAGTCGGCAACAATGTTCTGGCTGTCTCCGTTCTAACATTAGTTTTAAGATCTTCGTTGTGTTGAGACACCCAGTTTGCACTGTTTAGCTCCTGATTTGTGGTGAAGTTGAAAAAGTCATTCCACCTAGTTGGTGCAGTGTAACAGTACCAACAGCAGTGAAACAGACCCCAGCATGATGCTACCACAATCATGCTTCACTGTTAGTACAGTTTCTTAGATTTGAAACCCTGTCTTGCCTCCATCAAACATCCTTCTTGTCATTGTGGCCAAGTAGCTCAACTTTTGTCTCGTCACCATACAGCTTTTCTATGGTGCAGGGATATTTTATTGGCACTGTTTGGGCCCCTTATTAATGATTAAATGCCACAGTCACAACATTTGGATTGCTTGTTGGTCTCTGTGAGCCAGTCCCCAGCCTCTAGTGAAAGTAGTTCTTACCTCTGGCTAGAAAAGGCTTGATTCTGTGATAGCAATATTTTTTGGTGTTCAAGTCAATGCTTTTGCAGGTGGAAACAGAAGAAACTGGTGATAAGCACTAGTGCTGGTTTGTGGAAAAACCACTTATCTTGGTGTGCATATACAACCACCTGCTAAATGTTGGGAAGATCTCTTTTTACCACAAAGATTTTTCTAAGTCTGAGAACAGAGGAAAAACATTTTGAGCTGTCCTGAAGTTTATGTTTCCAAGAACTGAGATCCCTCAGGATTTAAGGAGTGAAATTGGGCATACTTGGGCATAATGTTCCATGTTGATGCAAGGTCAGGTTTTCTCTGCAGAAAAGCAAAGGTCAGGATTCAGATGTATGCTTAAAATCTTTGAAAACCTTTTAAATCTAATGGGATCTGTATAGTTGTCACTGTTTATGTGGTGTATGACATAAGTAAGATGCTTCAAAGTCTTGTAAGATCCCCTTAAAGTGCTTGAAAATAACTGTTTCATTACTTTAGCATTTAATGATGAGATAGTTACCAATTAATAAGAAAAGGGACCCACACTCTGTTTTAACCATGTTAGCTGCATTAAATACATGCAAAGATTCAAAGACAGATTTGTTTGGGAAAAATGACTAAAATTTCAAATGCACAAACTAAAACTAAAACCAAAGAACCAGTTTTCATTGGGAACATCTGTTGCTGTGTTAACCCAGCAGATGCAATGGTCCTCCTGGTGGTAAATCTGTCAGTAAGTCTGATGTCTTATGTGTTTGTCCCACACATCTAGCATATCCAGTCACATGTGTGAAATCAAGAACAGTGTTTCTAAGAGGTGGAAAAAAGAGGCCAGGGTAATGATACTCCCTTCAAAACAGATCTTGTTACTTTTTTTTTTTTTTTAATAAAGCCCTTAATAACTTAAACTGTGGTTTATAGACATCTAAAGTGTGTGTGGCTGTAATATTACTGTTTACATCAACAGTGCAGATGTCCCAATTACTTAGAGACTGTGCCTTAAAGATAAATTGCTAAGAAATATAATGTTATTGTTCTGTTATTAAACAGTTAATGGTTACCATATTCTGTCATATTATGTATGCAAAGTTTGCTCTGACTTCTGTTGCACGGCAGTATACAGCAGGCCCACTTCAAGAGTTAGAGTTAGGCTTACTGCAATATTTATAGTTATCTTGAAAGACATACGGCCCAAAGAAGACAGGAATGGAGTCAAGTGTTTTACTGCAAACCCAAACAACAGTTAAACAGAGGCTGACTTTTGGATCTTTAGGTCTTCTTGTAATTCCATGTAGCAAATCATGTTTACTTTAAAAAATAAACAAGGAGACTGGCAAAAGAGAGTTAAATTTAAAACTGGAAAAGCCCTCAGAGAGGACTCACAGAGTGTAGACCTCTGCCAAGGCCACTGCATGTCAGCTGCTGACAGGGTGACGAACCAGGCACCAATCACCTTCTGGAGGTCCTGAACATTCAGATTGCATATCGCCATAAGACATACAAGAGAATGCTTTTGAGTATTTCTTTTAATTATTATTTTGATTTCCATTTTACTTTACCATTTCTGTGTTTTTCACATACTTGTTTCACATATGCTCATATCTTTAAAAGTTTTGAACAGATTTTATATTATTTTATGTCCAATCAGAATGTGGGTCAGTCTTAATAAAGAAAATATGGTGTCTAGTGACTATCCAAACATCGAACCTAAGCTTTCATGGATGGTCATTTATACAAGGATGTGTGTGTGTCTTTAGAGGAGGGAGTATTGAGAAGAGTGGGTGGGCAGTTTGATGTATGAAACAATGAATTATGTCATGACAACTGTTTATCTGTGAGATTAAGTGGTGAAGATTTTATCTAAGAGAGATGGGGAGAGAAAAATATTGAGGGGTTCAATGCAATAAATACATCACCACAAAGATGTGTTTTTGTAGATAACCTCAGTGAGTCAGTACTTTTGTAACTGGGACAGAAATGCATTATACATTTTTTCTGCAGCTGTTGCAACACAGCAGTCCTCATGCATTTTTTGCTCTTTGCCCCTTTGCAGAGCAGAGATCTTGTAAAAGTCCAGCCGTGAAGACAGATTCCAGAGCTTCCAGGAAAGAAAAAAAATACTATCAGACACATTAGCCCAAATAAGACTGCTGATTAATCATTTACTAACAGGCTCCGATGTCGGTTCATGTGAGAAACATCCAAAAAGCAGGGGCATTACTCATATTGCCTGCACTTTTCAGCCAACACACCAAACCAAATGTTTGCAGACGTGCGCACATTTCCATGCAACAAGAAGCCAGATTTACTCACATAGATAGAGAAAAACAGCTCTCAGAGCATGCACACACTCTTGGCCTGTTACCTGACTGCAGCTTGCTGAAGACGTTTGGGTTGTAATTCCACACCAAGTTAATTTTCACAAGCAAAGCTGACAGAGACAGAGAGAATAACATGTACAAAAGGCTGATTTAAGGTAGAGTAAATAGTAATTAATTGAACTGATCAGGAACACATGGTTAGTCTCTTGTAAGGCTTTGATGAGAAGCAAATGTAAGCGCCAGATACTCTAGATCTAATTCATTACTGTATGTAGATGTGGATTTATTGTGGATTCCACATCATTGGATTAAAGCAGCAGATTGTATCGGCAGATTGTATTTCTAAACTTACAGTAATGATGATTGTTTTTTACAGTGTAACCGAGATAAAGAGAATTTGATATCTCTGCTTTAGTAATCCTTTTGGAATGACAACAATATTTTCATGTCTCCCTAATTACAGTAAACCAAAACATATGTACATGGTGTCGTTTGTTTGTGCTTGTAATTAAAGACCTGTCACTTGACTGACACTCAGGTTTCTTCAAGCCAAGGCATGCACACACACTAACACATGCACACGTTTGGTCTGCAACAAAACTAAATGAATCATTATAATTATTGTCAGACGGGTGCTGGGAGAGGGCAGCATTAATAATAATAATATAGACTTTATTGATCTCACAATGGAGAAATCGTACTCTGCATTTAACCCATCCCTTAGGGATGGCTTATGTCATAGAAAAAAAAGGCAGAGTAAACTCTTATTAAATGTGTTCACTTGCTCAAACAAATAATATGAAATGTTATAAGTTTTCTACCACGTGACTTTTATACCAGGCAGTTGCTTTGACCAGAAACACTTTACATATTTTGTATATAATAAATTTTTTTGTATTTTGTATGTAATAATATGCTTTACACAGGACCGTAATTTGTGGAGGACTGCCTCCTATCACCATTATATATACGTTATATATTATAGCAAGGGTGTCTGTATAAAATAGTTGACTGACTGACTGTTTTAAGACGGAAGAAGTCTGCTTTGCTCTTGGCTACTTCTGGACTTGCCCAGAGCTTCAGGCACTGGAACCATCAGTCTATTTTCTATACCCACTTCTTCCATACAGGGTCACGGGGGAGCAGGTGTCTATCTCCAGTGGCCTACAGGTAAGAGGCAGGGTACAACCTGGACAGGTTGCCAGTCCATTGCAGTGCAACACAGAAACACACAGGACAAACAACAATGCACACACATTCACACATGGGCATTTTAGAGAGAAGAATTAACCTAACAGTCATGTTTTTGGACTGTGGGAGGAAGCCAGAGTACCCAGACAGAACCCATGCATGCACCGGGAGACACATGTAAACTCCATGCAGAAAGACCCCCGGCTGGAAGTTGAACCCAGGACCTTTTTGTTGCAAGGCAACAGTGCTACCAACTACACCACTATGCAGGCACTGGGAGGACACCAACATAGTCATTTGTAGCCAGATAATATTAATTGAATGGTTGTAGCCTTCTGACACAACCTCACTTGAAAAATCCTGAATCATCAAAAAAAAAGTCGGCACCTGGATTAAACTAAGCAAATAGGTACGGGCCTCCCATTGGATAACTACTGCATGGGCGATTATGTTTCAGCTGGCAACAAGTTATTTAACCCCAACTGGTGCAATGAGTTGCTTCTCATTTCTTAAACAACCATGTCGAAAGAC